GTCTGTCTTGAACATGAAACGTAGGCTTCCCACAGTCGCCATAGATACGAACTTCATCTTCTGAACAGCTCAGAAGCCTGGAGTTGGATCATAAAAAGAGCCCTTCCTCCACCAAGGGTTATGATCAGATCCAGAATGGCACAAGCTCGACCCCACGCCAGTCCAGGGGTCCCAGGAGCAGCCATCAAATCTGTGGCGAGCCATCCGGACCATCACCGCCTTCACAGAAGAAGTGGAGACTGTTGGTATATGCTCATGCATGTACCAATTTTTTTAACAATTTCAACCTGAAATTAGGAATATAAGTTTTTTATAATTGGGATCATAATTAGATCAACCCATATGATCTGTGATTAGATGGATAAAGTCTGGATCTTATTTAATCTGGGTGCTCGATAGATTTAAGGTTTATTTTCACTTTGGCACCCCAGAATTTATTCATTTTTCCACTTTGGTACCCTCAAGTATTATTTTGAAGACTTTGATGCCCCCAGAGTTGTAATTCCATTTCACAATTGATTTTCTTGGTTACATTTCGTTAGATGTTTTGTTAAATTTGTGTAACATTTGGATCTATTTTAGCCAATGGCTTGAGATCCAGACAACCAAATGTTAGGATAAAAAGTGCAAACCATTTGATATAAATTTAGCACGAAATCTAATGAAATTTGGACGAAGGTATCAAAGTGAAATATGACTGAAATGTTGGAGAATCAAAGTGTTTGGATATAATGCATACTATCATTTATTTGGGAATGATCTTGTGAGTTAGTGTTTAGTTTCTAAGTCTCCAAGTTATTTGCTCCTTCAGATCCTCAGTATTTTGCTTTTGAAAGAGAAAACCCTAGAATTCACATCGACATGACCACTGGCCAGCTAATTGAAGTCAACCCGCCTGAACTCAGATTCCCATGTAATTTCCCCTTCCACTTTATTAATTCCATCAATTTTAGGGTTTTAATCTTCGTTTAATATTGTGTTTTTTTCATGGTTTGATCAGTTGAATTAGAGAAGGAGATCTCTTGTTCTATTCTGTTATCCAACAAAACCGATGACCACATTGCTTTTAAGGTATAATTCTCATTCTTTTTCTTTCGTTTGATTCATAAAAGATTGTCAGCAAATTTAATAAAGATTTGATTTTTGGGTTTTTTTTTTAGGTTATGACAAGTAGCCGGGATTGCATAATTTGGCCTAACAGAGATATCCTCTTGCCACGATCCACATGCAAAGTCGAAGGTACTCCTTTTGCAATTGTGAATAAGTTTACTTCTTTCTTATTATACTCTCCTTTTGGTGTAGTTGGATTATTTAAGTTTATTTTTGGGTTATAGTTACGAAGTTTGAGCAAAGTGAAGCACCACCTGACATGCAATGCGAAGACTTATTTGTTATTAAGAGCATCGTCACCTTCCCAGGAGCTACTAGGGATGACCTTAGACCTGAGACGGTAAACCCTTTAATTAAATAATATAGCTATAAATTTGTTTTAATTTGGGTCTATCATGCAGTATATGTTTTGGAAACTGAAGTAATTAGACACTTAGTGAAGGTGTATTTGTTTGTTTATTTTGATTTAGGAGGACTTTTATGTTCTTTGGTCATTTTGAATTAGGATTGTGAATTAAATTGTCTAGTTATTAATTATAGTTGTGTTTAATGCAAATTTTGGTTTCAAGTGGTTTACTAATTGTGAGAGATCATGCCATACCCGACTCTCGATCTTAACTAGGGTACATGCGTGACAGTATATATTTTTACTAAAACTGACACAAATATGCATGAAAGGATATAATTTTACTAAAACTGACACATAATACGAACTATAAGAAGTGGGTGAATGGACCTAAGGAGGTTACATACACTTTCTTTGGGCAATAAAATTTGGGATTCATTGATGAAAATATAATTTGGCGGTTTATCGATATTAGTCCATTAAATCTTTAATAATTTGATTTTTGTTTCTCAAGTCTTCATATTTTGATATTGGTCCTTCAAATCTTCATATTATGTTGATGCTAGTCCGAATGGAAATGATACGAGGAAAGCAAAAAGGTAATGATGGTTTAAGTAGAGATGTTAAATGGGTGGGTATGGGTTTAAATGGGCGGACCATAAATGGGCGGGCATGTTTTGCCCATTTACCCATTTATGGCCCATTTAACATTATTTAAATGGGCGGGTTTTTGCCCGCCCATTTAATAAACGGGTCGCCCATTTGCCCATTTAACTATAGTACATATATATGTATAATACTTTTGGGGTGTTTTTTGTAAACTTTTAGGGGTTTTTTTTGTAAACTATTGTGGGTTTTTTGCAAACTTTTTGGGAGCTTTTTGCAAACTTGTTGGGGCTTTTGATAAAATACTAACAAAAATAGGAACATAAACAAAGATAAACAAACAAAGGCAAACAAGTTCATGATTGAACCATTTACAAGCCTGGATAAAAGTACAGACCTCACACATTTGCAAAATTAACCTCAAATTTCCAAACCAAAAACCAAAAGATCAATAACAACAAAATTGCGAGAATATTTAAATGAATCAAGATAGAAAACACAATGTATGTAAGGATCTATATAAGATGAATAACTTAATATACATGCCATCATAACTATCAGCAACACGATCACGATTAGTAAGGACAATCTACTTAATTACTTGATAAACTAGAAGAGTAGTAAGTTACGCTGCAAAACCCAAAAGTTTAAAGAAACCCTGGTCCAAAAAGCTCAGATTGATTAGGCAGTCTCCTCTTAGTCTCATCAAGCTCAAGGCATCAAAAGCTTATCTTAAATATCTGTTTACGTCCAAATCTGGATGCGCTGACGAGTTCGATGCAGCTCCCAGATCAGAAGAGACTCATACACGCCCAGCTCAATTTTGGTCACAAAAAAGCAGTGGCAATAGCAGCTCTCAGCAGCCAGAATACTGGTGTGATCACAATAGCTAATGCTGTGTTTGGGGCGAAGCCATTGATTCCTGATGATGTTCTTACCAAAGCCTTCCAGGTTGACAAGAAGACAGTGGGCTGGCTCAAGTCTCAATTCTGGACAGATAACCACTAGAAATAATTAATGATTGAAAAGAGAATATGATGATTTCCACTGCTACTATAAGTATTCATTGTATTAATTAATAAACACTGCATATTTGTATTTGGTCTACAACAGTAAGTACAAAATAATTGGACAGATTTTTTTAAACTAATTTTCCTCTAATGGTCAAGCTGTGTGTTTATAAATAACATGTTATAGACAGTCCTTGCATCTTATTCTAAAGAAGGAACATCTATCTTCATTCATAATTATTTCATTTCCTCGCACTTTAAATGCTTAATTGAGCCTTTATATTTGAAAACAAAGTCCAAATGTACCAAACCAGAGGATGCAAACAATTCAAGAGGTAAAACAGCGCACGTACAAATAGATAGGATAAAAGCAAAGAATAAAAAATGGGCCGGACCTTGAGGATTTCCGTGACGGATTACAACAAACTATAGGCCTCGCATGTTTCAAGCTAGAACAAAATGTGCTTACTCAAAGGGGCACATATTACGTCTAATTTTTCTACCTAACCATAAAATTTTTTCTGATAATAGCCTTCCCCGTTATCACCTATAATAGAGAAGATGGTCATATTCCAGTTATCAACAAAACCAGGGTGTTTCAAGAGACAATAGTTTATTCACATCGAGATTCAAGATCACATAGGTAACGTATTTCCTCTAGACATCAATATTATTGCACAAACATATGCATTGACATGCACTTGAGATTCTAATTGATCAAAGATTCTATAAACAAGAATAAATTATTTCGGTAAAGGGAGAAATGCATCAAGTAGCAATCTTTAGCTAAATTATAGTATAAATCTGTAAACAAATTGATAAGAAATTCAATTAAAAGAAGAATTTACTTCAATATCGCAATTGCCTCACCATTTTGGAAATTCGAGGGAACGTAATGATCAAATGATGGAGTGCAAAGCCCTGACTGGTGAGTAAAGAGAAGCTGGATCCTCGTTTCGCGTCAAGGTCGAGGTCGAGATCGATTTGGAGGCGGAGGATAGGAGATCGATTGGAGATGCAGGCTGAGGTAGAGGCTGAGATCGAGCAAAGATTGGGGCTGAAATCAAGCGGAGATCGAGGTCAAGTCAAGGTCAACGTCGAGAGGAGATCGAGGCAGAATTCAGACTGAGATCGAGCAGAGATCGAGAAGAGATCAAGGTTGAGAAGGAGCGGAGGTTGAGGCGGCGGAGGCGGAGGCGGAGGCGGCGGAGGAGGCGGCGGAGGAGGAGGCGGAGGAGGAAGGAGCAGGGTCGGGATTGATGCCGATGAGGAGAGATTGGAGATGACGGAAATAAATGAGAAGGGTTAGGGCTTCGGGTTTTGGTTTTGGGAATCGGGCGGGCAAATGGGTGCATATAGACTACCCATCTACTGCCCATTTAGTATAGGCTGAAATGAACCCACCCAATTAGACCCATTTAACTAAATGGGTGGGTTTTAGGTGGGCCAATTGATGGGCGGGTTGGGTGGGTAAATGGGTATGGGCAAAACTTGCCTTCCCTATGTGCCTGAGACCTATGTTTTCTAAAAGGACAATTCTGAAATCACTTGAAATTTTGTCATTAATTAGGCAAATGAAACCCTTTTAAAATGGTTCTGTATCATTGAACTTTAAAGTGGTTTTCGTTTCCACTTCATACCTATTTTAGAAGTGGATTCTGTGAAAATTCACTTATAATTTGCATTTTAGCATAGATGTACATTCAACATAGCAATAAACTGCATGCTAAATGTGGGTACTAATGCAGATGATAATCCTTTAACCAAGGGACTTTACGGTCAGCTGGGGAGATGATTCGAGATATTTGGAGTGGATCCAACTGTGGAATTGAAGCCATGCACATAGGCTCAAGCACGTGTGCTTGCTCGAAGTGAAAGGTTCATTCGACATTTCAAGGTCACGTGCGGGGCACGATACGATGTGTGGTTCGACTTGATCATGGTGGCTCCATTCGATGGATGGTGGTGGGCTCCAATGAAACTAGGGCTCGATTTCCCCAATGGGTGCTGCACCGCCTGCTGCGAGTATCAAAATTCTGTTCCCCAGGATGCGCCCGAGTTAGATTCTGCCGAGAGCTTAACGGCCTGGAGTGGTGAGGCACTGAGATGAGGACAAATTTGTGGAAGAAGGGCCTTGTCCTGAAGAAAATTTCCGTCCTCCCTCAAGGTTACAGGGCACAGATTGTGGTAAGTTTATCAATTACTTTTATGGATTAATATATAGCTCCATAATACGTTTTAGTTTACAAGTTAAGTTAGACTACTATCAATAGCATTCAACATGTAGATATTTATACTATAGACACAAATTTTAAATTTCGATTCAGAATTCGAAATGCCAATCTGATGTGATTAAATCCATATGAGTTATCCAAAAAATAAAAATTTAAAGGATTTGAATTCTATATTTTCCCCACAACATTCGTAGTTTTCAGAATTTTCATAGAGTTGCACCATGTAACACTTGTACTCTCTCGTTCATCAGAGGTGCGGCAGTAATTGTACCATAACCTGTCCATGAAACTCAAGGGATTGCCAGTTAAACATAGGAGGAAAAGTTGGAGGAGTAGGCATTGGCGACGGAGGTATTAGAAGTACAAACCGTGGAACTGGAGTTTTCCAATATATCCTCAAACCAAGGGGAAATAATCAAAATCACTTCATCTCGTATTCCAAGTGTCAAATGGTATCATCAAAATTAATACTGCCCCGTTTGGGTATCGTATTATGTAGGAGTTTTTTTTTTTGCTGTTCTTTACTTTGCTTGGGTGAAAGTTGTTATCATGTTGTATTTTTAGCTTTTGATGATGATCAATGGTTGTGCATTGCTCTACTTTTGTTTAATAATGATTAGTTTGGTGCATGTTCTTTGCACGTGTTCCTGTTTCTATATTTATGCATAAGGTCAATGTGCTCATTGCAATGATAATTTCTGTATGTATGCAGATGCAAAGTGATAAGAGATGAAAAGTTAATTTAGTGAATCTCAATGGTCCTAGGATTTGAATAATAGTTTGTTTATTTAGTAATACCAAAGCTAGAACTTAAGCTATACAAAAGAGCACTAAAAATGGTAATACGTTATGTTATACCTATAATTGACATATTGTATATTCAAATATTAAAAATATCTAATAAGAAGAAATTTATTTACCATAATAAATCCTCCAATTGTTTGTAAAAACGTGCTGCAGTAACTTAATCCTCAAGCAAACCTAAAATTACATAATACATATTTTTCAATTCAGGGGAATGAATAATTGTTCCTAATAATTAGCCTTTAATTTAAGAAAATGTTTTTACTTTCTAGGTATAGAACCAAAAACATGTTTTCGCAAATTGCTTAGAACTGTTGGTTTATATTGAACTAGGTGAGATACTTGTGCAATGCATCTAGACAAATAATTTGATTATTTCTCTCAAGTTTATGTCTTTGTTTTTTTCGAGAAACATAAATTAGAAATAGATTTATGACTTTACTATAACTCCTTGGTGAAATAGTTCATGCTTACCATGAATTTATTGCATAAAATATGATCATATTTTAAACTTCTACTTATTGATAATAACTTTTTGGGGACTAATATCAAACTTGATAATGCATTGAAATTTGTTATGCTCACAAATTTTAGAACTTTGATCTAACAGACATATTAAAAATCCCAACTTGTAATTTAGAACTTCGATCTAATAGACATATAATTTTATGCTATATTACAAATGTATAATGGCTAATATGATGGGAAATCCATATTACATTCATACTTAACAAAATTCACATGAGACTAAAAAAACAAAAGATTAGCTGCATGATCCAAAGCATTAGTTTAAAAATAATAAAAATTATACATCAATATATTACAAATTACTAATAACAAAACTAATTATGGTTCTCAATATGGGTAAAATACTCCAAACCAAAAACAAACTTCAAGCAAAACTGCTATATTACACTCTATGCACACTCTTTATGACAACAACATTATTTAAGAAAAGCGACATCTATCCTTAAAAACAAAAGGTACCAAAGACTTAGTCTCTCTCGGGAAATTTTCAATCTTTGACAAATACTATATCCTAGTAGCAAAAATCATGTCGATAAAATACAAAGCTGTGTCTTAGGAAAAAGCAAGTGCATACACATTTCATGCAGCGAAAGTAATCCCATAAGAATCTATATTCTCAAACAGACAACATAGGGCATATAATTCACCTAAAAGCCCTACCATTTGCTTGTAGAAAACAACTCATCCTAGAAAGAATATTCATGGAAAAATTAATCACGTCTAGGGTGCAGGCATTCTAGGTGGAACCATTCAATCTACGATGCAAAAATGCTAGATGAAGATCCATCTAGGATGTGCATCCTAGATAGTAAATTATAATAATAACATGTTTTTATATGTGTCCCATTAGCATAGATTGAAATTTTCATCTAGGATAGTAGGACTCACATCTAGAAGAACTCCAACCCTAATTTTTAATTGCGCCACCTCTTTCTTGTGCTCAGTTCTCTCGTTGCTCTCGTTACCCGATATCCTCTTCGTCCCTTCTCCTCAAATAGATGCTAATGAGGACTCACAGATCATTGCTGATAAAGCCCTAAAGAAAACGTAACCCATCTTCTTCTCAAATTGATACTGATGACATCACCTATTATTTGCTTCTCCTTAAATCGATAAACCGCTACCGCTATTTATCTCCCCTCATCTCTTTCTCGATTTATCTCAAATTCAAAGGTGGATGTGTCATTATAGCTATTGTCACTTCTATCACATCTGCCGCTCCTCTCATCACAACCAAACTACTTCTATCACTACCATAAGGTCAAAATTCTTGAACAAATACGCTAAGTCCTAACGCCTATTGACTCAACCATGTTCTTTATTTAATAATTTTGAATGTTGTTGTTTTAATTTAAGCCATAATAATATTAACTGAATTTCATTTAGCCCTAATTCTCCTAATCCTAACAGTAGTTGAACAAGTTTTAGAAATTCATCCTAATTGAGTAATTTCCAAAGACTAACCTTAATTAGAAACCCTAATCCTAACTTTAACCATATTTCTAACTATATTCTTAATATATTTGCTATATCTATGTTTTTATAAGTTTGTTTATGTTGTGATAGTGTTTGGTTTAATTAGTTATGTTTTTTAAAAATATAATTATTTTGAAAATATTGTGACATATAATGAAATAATGTGTTATATATCCAATTTGGGTGAATACAAAAATATTTAACATTATCCTTAGACTTTTGTCAAATAATTAATATCAATTTCTTGGACTTCAAATATAAGAGAGATAACTCAATTTGGATATGAAATTAAATTTTCTACCCAAAAATGGATCATGAATCTAATGTTATAAGGAGAAGAATTGTCATTATTTATTGGATCAGTCCAGTTTTGATAAGTTAGGAATATAGTAGTGCATTATCTAATTTTATATACTTTTACATTCTCGTTTCTAGAAAATGTTTTCAACATGTCCTCAATGTTCTCTGTGTACAATAAGGGTATACTGTTCTACATTTTGGTCCATTGTCAATACACATAACAATATTCATACATTGTACTTGGAGTATGGTAGGTAGGTGCTACCAAAAGTTTGTACAAAAAAAATACACAAAGAATATAAAGTTAGATATATGCACTACTATATTCTTAACGGGATAGAAGTCTTCATAAAGCAGTTGCTAGAGTATTCAAATCAACCTATTGTTAAGTTTGAATTTAGAAGGGAATAATATTTTTTTGTTGTTAAACGAATGAAGTGTATTACCATGATATGTGTATGTATGTACATTGTATTGAAGAGTTAAAAATTTATTAATAGTAGTGAGAATAATTAGAGTTTCTAATTATTTATTATCTAAAGATGATGATAATTCCAGACAGATCATGGACAAATATTCCAAGGATTGAATAATAATGTTATCAATGATATAAAAATAGATGTGGAACCTTCCTAAAGTGTACCGAAATGAATCCAAATATTGAAATAGTGGTGCAATGTACTGCCACTATTGTAGGTGTAAGAATATAAAATTAGAGAATAAAGAGGAAATACGGAGTCACTTACCAAATTTAGGGTTTATAAGGAATATAACGATGGGTCATATTACGAAGAAGGCTATATTAAAGATGAAGGACGAGATGTGCTGGTGGGTATAGCTGATGGTTTGAGGATAGACAATATAGAAATCTTCAAAATGATATTATACCTAGCCATACTGAATATGATATCAATGATGATAGTACTGATACCAAGGTTGACGTCCAAGATGTAGCAGATATCGAAGATGTTGTTGGAAAGTTTTGACGATGTGCATGCTTCTGAGGACTTGGGTTGAATAATGAAGCTATAAGAGAATAGTGAAAAGGGCCTCTATTTGGGCTGCACCGATACTGTAGATTTTTATTTCTATTGGAACTCTTTCATATTGAGAGCCACCAACTTGCATTAAAAAAGCTAGAGGACTTGAAGCCTATGGTACATGCTAGAAAAGATGCTAAAATTGCAAAGGAAAAATGGATAGATCGAAAGAGGTAAATATAATATCTCTCTTGTATCCAATCTCATTTTTATATTATATGCTTTAATTTAATATTGCTTCATCATAGGTGCGAAGACTGATTCCAATGGATTGGGACGACATGGTGCGGGCTAGCCTGAGTCAAGACATGCACAAAAAGGCTTTAGAGCTATTCTTCAATGGTCTAATAATTTGCTTGTCAAATAATAGTTGACAAAATTCAATAATGTGTTGGTGTTTTAGTGCATAGAGGAAATACCATCAACCTGTACTCTAAGGTCACAAAGTTGCCATGGAGATCCTTCAAGGACATATGGAAGAGCTTATTGTGCTTTAGTATTTCACTTACTATTAGGTATAATGATTTCCATATTAGGGTCCACACAAGAGTTGAACATTTTTTAAGAAAAGAGTTAAATTTGGAACATTGAAAATTATATACAGTCTAAGATTTGAGATCTAAAATGATGTCTTATCCGAATTGAGAATCTTTGAATCATTTTAAAGATTAGGTGAAAATTAATTATAGCAAGATCAAAAAATTAAGAAAAGAATTTTTTTTTGTTTTTAAAAATCAATGGAAGGGAAGCATAACTAGCTTTTAGGTCTCTCCGAAAATGATCTTTTTGAGTGCATTTTTAGAGAACTCAAAAAAATGATAACATTAAAAAATGAGAATTTTTAGGTGATAAAGGTTTACAAGAAAGAAGAAAACGGTTTCAAAAAGTTTTAAAAGAAAAAACAAGATGGGTCATCAAAAAGTTTGATCATCAAATTTTATTATACTTTTAAACTGTCATTATCTATTTTATTTGAATAAATATATCACTAATAATATATTTTTCTCTTAATTTGCAAGAAGAAGTATTAAGAAATAAGAGCTCAAAAGAACCAAAATCTGTCACTTTCCTACCACTCTATGAAGCGCAATATCAAGGCAAAAAGAGGCCTACAAAAGCCCAAAGAATCGAGAAAATTTTTGAGTAAACAAGTCAACTAAAATATAAATTTTTTAAGAACTATTTAATTTACTAATAGATTGGCCAATTGGTTGACCAAGCGATTGACAAACTGATTAGCCAACAGGTTGGTTCTTAACAAAAACAACATATGGTTGAAATTTATTTCTAAAATCTCAAGCCAAAACAATGACTCTTTTTTATTTCTATAGGATATGAATAAGGGTAGAGGATGAGTGGTTAGAGTACTCTTTTATGCTTAAAATAATCATGTTTAGGATAATCAACTAGAGAAGTAACTAGTAGAAGAAGAATTTGATAATCTATACTTATTTTAATCAATTCGATAGGTTATACTTATA